TAATTGAAGTAAATTGAAAAAAAGGACCAACCAAAAGCAGTCAATAAAATACAGACGCACAACTGACACTAATCAAAATTGCAGTTTTTCCTCTTAAAATTCAATATGGACAATCACAAAACAAAAACCGGAAAATAAATCGAAAATATCGGTAAACAAACTATACATAGAAATGACACGAATGTTGGAGAGTGGCTGAAGCAGTTTTGTGCAGTTAAAGACTCGGAAGCAGTAAAAAAGACGACAACCGAAAAAAAAAATTGGCCATCAATGCCTGAAGTGGCAAAAGAATAGAGAAAAACAAGAAAATAACAAAAACTAAAATACGAGTTCAATATACAATAACACAACTATAAATGGTAGCTGTAAGTATGTTTGTGTGAAAATTAAATAAAGCTATTCGGCAGTTCGAGGGACTGTTTCAGATTTGGAAGCCCACACATTACACCGCCCAACACTTAAAATTAGACACTAACCGGATTATATACGTCTGAAACTATACATTTAATGGAGAAAATCTGCATTTTTTGTTTTTCATTTCTTGATTCTGTTTCCTTTTTAAAGGACTTCAAAAAGTACATTTTTCAAAAAAATATTTCAAAATACTTCTACTGATCGAACAATGTCAAATTTGATGTCAAGTGAACAAGAAGAGTTGGGAAATATTTTGCATAAATTTTATTTTATACTCTCAGGATAAAAAGATGTAAAAAATATTTTTCAAATATTTTTTGAAAAATTAATAGATATTAAAGGATACAAATTTTAAAATACATTTCTGACATCTTTTTACCCTGACATTATAAAATACTAATAATACAAAAAAATCCCCAACTCTTCTTGTTCGATTGACATCAAACTTGACTTTTAACTATTAACTTTTTGCTAGATTACCTTACAAGGAGCAGTACAGAAGAAAATTTTACAGATCAAAGTTACTACACACTCTTATAAGGGATATTAAAGAGAAGTTTGGCTTAGTACCAGACTCCTAAGGAAGACTAAATTCACGATTGAGTTCTTCCAGCATTACCGAAAATACATCATGATAAAATGACCCAAAAATAAAGTAAGACATTTGACAATAATCCTGTCTCAAAAGGTACACATGAGCTCCTTGTAAAACTACTGGTTTCCTACAAATTATATAGATGTGTGTGTGTATATATAGTGTGAGATGCACTTGAATACAGGTAAAACTGTCGTTGAAGCAATAAAACCAACAACGACAACAAAAACTGTAAACAAGCAAAACAATTATAAGTAGATTTTTATTGAAATGTAAGTGAGCAGAATGTTGGGAAAAAATGAAGTCGAGTATGAGTTTTTTTATATATATATAGAGGAAGGAAATGTCATTGAGCAAGTATTTCCGTTTCCGATGTTTGTGTTTTTTAACTTTACTGTGCCATTATTACTGGCTCTGAAGCACCTTTAGCTGTTATGGTTGTTTATAACAGCTATAGTTTTGTAGTTCTATAGCAAATAATATAAATTCTCAATTACTATACCAGCAACAGACACCTACATACATACATAACGAAACCACTAGAACAGCACAAAAAACAGGACAATAATCAATATGAAATTTAAACAGAAGTAGAGAAATAACTGTTATAAGTATGTAAATAATTGTGTGGCATATAGGCATATTTAAATGGCAAATTTGAAAAATATAATAAATTTTTAACTACACAAGGTATTCTTTAAAATACCCCAGGAAACAGTGTAATATTTTTTGTATTCCCATTTTAATCCCACATAAAATGAATAGCCTACAAATTAACATATAAATAACATACATATGTATTAAAATTGATAGTTGGCTAACAGATTTTTTATAGTTTTAAAATAATAATTTTAAATATATATATTTTCAATTATTTGCTATTTTTTATAAACCAGAATTATGTATGTGTGTAGATCCAAAAATTATCCATATATAAATATATTAAAAAATTAATTTTAAAATTAATAATGTGTCAGAACAAAACAATCTACAAACAGCCACATGAACAGTAAATCGTGTGCAAATATCAGAACTATTCTGTGGTTTTCTTTTTTTATTTAGAAAAAAAATTTAATTGTGAATAAAATAAAACAATTGTGGCAGTTTTATGTATAGTTAAAAGACACACAAACACACACACATACTATTTAGTTTTAAATGCATATTGTATAGAGAACTACAAAGGAAGTAGCATTTTATATTTTCTATTTATTTCACTTTATTTACTTTTTTATTTAGAAAAAATAGAACCTTTTCACACTAAATTAATTTTATATTTATATTTTATAATATGTATAGTTTATGGGGTTTTTTTTCCAGTATTTAAGATGGAGTAAAAAAACGGAAAATCAATGTAATGAAAAGAGCACTTCATCGCGTTTGTAGGGAAACCCAATAAATAGTTATCAGAGAATGCTTAGTTAGATCCGAAGATATTGTAATAGGCCGTTATAGGTTTTTTTCCATTCTTTACTTGGAAAATATTGGTTAAAAAACGTAATATAACCCAGTATTAAGGTATTATCGTCCGATATTCCGAAACTCAATTTCTTGATGGTATTTCCTCATCAGTGTTCCTGAGAGATGTAATATCGCTTCTGAGATATTTGGATCTAATTTCTAGAAATGACTGACAATGACAAAGACATTCGTCTGAGTAGTTCTGGCCGTAATCCTGTAATCCACTCAATTGAAAATTGAATTATATTGAAAATTGCGATCTGTACTTTGCGCACATGGACAGCTAGCCAGCAAGACGGATGGACGGACAGATGGACGGACAGATGGACAGACAGACGGACGGACAGAGAGACATAGCTTAATCGTCTCAGAAAATGATTCTAAGTCGATTGATATACATTAAGGTGGGTATAGGACGAATATTTTTGTGTGTTACAAACATCAGCACAAACCCAATATACCCTCCCCACTAAAGTGATGTAGGGTATAAAAAGTAATTGATATCCAGTAGGGCTCAAAGCACAAACCTCCTGTTTGTTAAATGGACGGCCTATACAATTGGGCTATAACAAAGCCAAATTACTTCGCTCTTTACCAGTAATTACTTATAGAGCTAAATGAAATAATGTAGTCGATAATGGCCACTCCTTACCAAGTAATGTATGAAATAACTAGTGATCAATAACAAAAATTTTGAAATTTTAGCTGGAAATTTTATTTTTAAAGCAATCGAATATTGGGTTACAAAAGTTAAATAGACAAGGTACTTGACGGTTAAAACACGTTCAAATATGCACAAAGTCAACCATACTTACTGACGTAGACGTATAAATTGTTGCAAATAAATTGCAATACAAATTCAATGAAACGCAGTCATTTATATAATTGTTCAAGTTGCTGATGTTTCATTTCTGCTGGCTGGTTGATAGAGTTTGATGCTGCTGCCTTATGATGATAATGCAATAATAATGTATACTTCAATATAATACTCGCATTAAAACGGTAGCACTTGAGTGTTTTTCTTTGATTAGGGTTGCCATTGTATAAAACCGTTCCGTTCTATTCGTTTGTATATGGAATTCTTTTTGTTTGTCCTTATTTTGTAAGTGTATGAAATGTATTTTATTGTTGTCTCTGTTTTCTTCACTCCTACTTTCATTTAATTACATTCATTTTTCGAAATTATATTCAATTGCATTTTGAAACAAAGAGGATGACAACAAGAACAACAACAATATCATCATCTACAACTATTCAGCTTTGCTGTACTCTATACGATTCAAATTCTATGTATTCAAAATTTTCATAGAATTATTTCGTTAAAAATGTTTGTGATTGTAACTGTATATACTCCCTATATTCGTTTGTTTGTTTGTGTTTTTTTTATTTGTATTTGCATCGTTTGTGTATGTGTGTTGACTGCATTTCTAAATGTTGCCAAGGATATTCATTCAATGAGTTCCTGCAATCGCTTTCTAGCTTGTTGAATTGTTCAATGTTCCAATGATGATGATGTTTTTGTTGATGACGATGATGCCTTTGCCGTTGCTGCTTTCTGAGGGTGTTTTCATAGAAAAACTAAAATTTCATTAACTCGTCCGTTGAGCCAAAGAAAATAATTATATTTATTTTTTCTTAAAGTTCAGTTTTTTTTTATTTTGCTGCTGCATTTGTTTTTGCTGTTGTTGATATATGTATAATCGTTCTAAATGTAATTTTCTTCTTTCTAAGACTAGATCTGTTCTGTATACATTAGGGTGGTTGATATAGTACTATAAGGATTTGTATAATATAGTCAAAAGTGTAAACCTGTATTTTTATTGTAAGGTCCACATAGCCAGTTTTATTCTGATACTAAATCAATTTGAGCAATTTTTTATTATTTTTTTATAAGTTTCTTAATTTGAAAAAATATCAAATTTTCTAATTTGATTAAAATTTTAAAACTTGTTATTAAGCCGACTTGAGCTTCTTGAATTTAAACAAAAAATACACCCTTAAGTATAAATAAGTACATAGTCTTTGCCATCATTAAATGTAATGGATATAAAACTGGTGGAAATAAAATTGTTTTAAAAGAAATATAAAAATAAAATAAAGGAAAAACGATGCGGTTTTATAATTAATGCATTTACTTTCGATTCTCAATTGCAAATAGCAGCAATTTTATAACTGAATACACTGACATACTCATACATACAAACGCTCTACTCATTTAGTCCTCCGACACTCATACTTTTATAACTTAAAGTACATTATTTTCATTTCCGTTTTCACAGCCATCTTTGTACAGCTATGAGTGTGAATCTGTATGAGTCCATATACTTAATTAAAGATGTTCTAGCTGTTTGTTACGTTAGCCTCTGGTTTCGAGGTTGTTTTGTCTGTAGGTGGTAGTAGGAAACTTTCTATAATTATTGCAGTTGACTGTGATTATTTAATAATATTTTATTAAAATCTTATGAAATTTTTTATTGTATTATTAAAAAATTTAATTTGTTTAATTTGCAAAATTTTCTTTGTTTTTTAGTTAATGCTCGCACATTGCCACATCCACGTCATAATAATACTGCAAATATAATGGATCATAGAGCACGCGATGATCAAATGTTAATTAATAAAGCAGTTTATATTCCGTCCCCTTCGCCGGCGCCACCACCAGATGGCTCATACTATAATATGAATAGCGACAGATATTTATCGTATCCACCAATGGTAAGTACTTAAATTACATTTATACTATAACTATACAATGCAATACATATTTACTATAGTATATAGGAAAATTCAATGTAATGCTCTTTAATTTAATTAATTTTTAAACATAAATAGTTTCATTAACTCTATCAAAAAGATTTCAACACATATTTCAATATACATACTTGTACAATGTATACTACATACTGACACACATACACTTTTATATATATTTATAATGACTAAAAACTTAATGGTTTTTATATTGACTGCAGAAATATTTGTACTGTTTTATACTCATACAAAATGAACTTTCATCAGAAATCCTAATTAAAATATAATTAAGACAGATTATTAAAAAAAATAATATAACAATTTACTGATAAATTTAATAAATTTTAAATACATTAAAGTTTCCATAAATAACTCACTCATATTTGTATAGGAATCAAATTCTACTTTTTTGTTCCCAATTCCCTAATAACAACAGTTGTCCTATGAGCATAGTTGGCCACTCATTGTTTACTTTATTGTTTACCTAGGCTAAATTCTTTCACTAGCTACATATATATACAAACAGTTGAAAGGAATTATTATTACACTCCCTTATTAATGAAACTTTTTTTTTCATTTAATTTAACTAATTAAAAGTTTAAGAAAAAAATACTTTCCTGTTGGCTTTTTTTCATTTTCTTTTTAATGCAATAAAAACTTTTAATGTCTATCAAATATTTGTGTAAAACATTTATTTATTTGCTGCAGTTTTCTTTTCTCGAAGAAAAAAAATATGCTCCCTTCTATGTTTTACTCCAAGAATTTTTTCAATTTTAGTTTCTTTTTCTTTTATTATAAGTATTTTTTATTTAATTTATTGTTAATCATGGTTTTGGATTATATTGCGCAATTAGTTAAGTTTTGTTTTCTTACTTCTTAAACCTCCCAGAACTCTTGCCATATACTCAGTAGCTTAATAGTTTAGTTCTATTTTTTCTTATAGTTTTTAAAAAATATTTAAACTGAAAATATTAAATTGTTCTTTAGTTTTTTTTTTTTTCTACACTCTTCTTGTTGCCCATATTTTTTTTAATTTTATCTTAAAACTGTTTGTATGTAGCTGCAACATCATTCGTGCCACGTAATGAGGGTGAACTATAGAAAACTTTTGGCATAAATTAAATTCCGTTTTATTTCTATATAATTTTATTAATTTCAACTTGCAATGGCGATAGCAGTGCTATATAAAACCACTATTATGTATATAAATTGTATCTTTATATACATAGATACATAAATACATATTTACATTAGACCTAGCCTTGAAAACATAATATTAGTTGATTTTAGGTCAATCATATAAAAAGAAGTCATTAAAATTCATTCATCACTCAAACAAGCATAAAAGGGTACTCCATAAAAGGGTACTCCATACTGTCATAATGTTCACGATATGACACTTGCAAAAGTTTCCTTGAATAAAGTGACATAAAGCCCATGAATTACAGACACTATATTTGTTTCCTTGATGAAAGGCCCTCATCTTGGTGTATTGCAATCCCGGGGTAAAGAGGTGCTATCAGTACCTCTAGTCTGCCGGGACTATAAACTAGTGATGTCATTTCACTCCCTGGCTAGTCCTTGGAATGATTTGACATGGGGTCTAACCAGAGAATCACATAATCTGATGCAACGGGTGGCCAGTTGCCCGCAGGACTTGTCCTAGCTAGTCAGTTGGTTAAGGTTCCTTCGGAACCCACGTAGTGGCTGTGGTTTAAACCCAAATTTGCGGGAAGAGTAAGCTGCGGTTAAAAGTCTGATGTACGGCGAAATCTATATTTCGGGATAAGTTCGATGCTGTTGGCGATTGACAACAGATACCCCACAGAGGAGTGACTGTGGGACTAAGCGTTCGAAATGAGTTGGTATTAATTGTATATGATACTGGATGAATGTAGGAGTATACGAAACTCATCCGCCGTATACCTAGAGTGAGTATGTCGTATGTTGTTCTCTTATGAGTGTGTGGGATTAATGAGAAGTGTGCTGGGTTGAATGGTAATGGATGAAAGGTATCTTACTTGAGCAAAGTGCACGTATACTGGACTGGAAATTACATTGCCGCCTGCGTGTAAGAAGCACAATGGGACGGTGGTAAGTTGTCACAGAAGCTCACCCAGTGGTTGAAAAAGACCACCGTGAAATAGGCCAACACGGCTAGTCCTTGGAATGATTTGACATTGGTCTAACGAGAGAACCACATAATCTGGTACTACAGGTGGCCAGTTACCCGCAAGACTTTTCCTGGCTGGTCATTTGGTTAGGGTTCGTTCGGAATCCATATTTCGGGATAAGTTCGGTGCTGTTTCACGGTCGATTGACAACAGATCAGTGTAAACCCTGTTCATACTAGATTTACCACAGTGTGTCACTGTGAGTAAGAACAAAGTCTCGGCTTATTTGATGCATTCGGTCTACCGGTTACGTCTCTAGGTGCTGTTGCCAACTCAACAGAAGCCAACCCATAAACGGAAGTTATGTTGTTACAAATCGGTTAAGCAGCGGGGCAGCAATGGTCAGAGATTAGATAGATCAAGTACTTTAGCAAAGTGAGTACCCACAGAAGCTCTCCCAGTGGTTCAAAAAGAACACCGTGAAATAGGCCAACACGACAGGTGTTCAGGTAAAACCCTCGACATTAACTCCATTTATCAAGAAAAGTCTTGGCGAATCCGGTAATCGAAATACAATAGAGCTTAAACCCTACGCGTTCGACCAAAGGCTATCCAAAGTGCAAAATACACCAAAGTTGGGAGCAATTTTACCTTGAATAAGAGCGTCTCTTTCTTACATCCTATTCATATATTCCAATACATTTCTGTTTTAAAAGTATTTCAATGTCCATAGACATTACCACACTTTCGAAATGGAAACTATGAAACTTTTTAGAGTGTCAAACCGTCCATGGACATTATGGGGTGGCATACCCTGGTGACGTGTCATAACGTCAATGGACGTTTGTACACACCAAAATGTGTCACAGTGTCCATGGTCATTGTGATACTTTTAAAACAGAAATGTATTGGACAATTTTTTTTATTTAGGAAAGGGACACTCTTATCCCAAAAAGAATTGGACTTTATGTCATTATGCTCATAGACATTGCGACACATTCGAAATTGTTATAACTTCCATGGATACTATGACTCAATTTAGTGCGTCATAACGTCCATGGACATTATGACACGTCACCGCATACCTTTCATAAGGTACTAAGACTTGTTGCAAACTGATCCAAGTATATAATGTTTAAACATTGCAAGGTAATGCATTGACTTATACTACTTCCCTGCAAACATTATTGAAATATTAAGATCAGGGTCCTACGTAATACAGACGTGAACCATGTAGTTCTTAAAAAGTGAACATGGTCTACGTCTGTATTACATAGAACTCTACACGGATCATGTACTCCAAAATTTTGTTCAGGTAACTTAAAGATCTTCCTTTTATCCTTCAAATATAAAATTATTATTGCCGGGAAGTAACCGATATATGTCGGTCTAAACAATTTCAAAGATACGATTTTAAGGCTAACATCTGATTAATTGTTCCGATTTCCAGCCTTTAAGTTACAAACTAGCTTTGAGAGCTTAAATCAGCTGCCTTCAGATTAGAGCTTTTTCAAGCTTTATTTAAGCTCTACAATTTTGTAATGGGAATTAAGATGGGATGACTTTTTAGCCTGATATATCTCACTTTTAAGGTCTTTCAGCACATGACAGGCTTTAGACATTATCAGAGCTTAAGAAGCTTACGAGCAACATCAATTGCATATAATATTTTAAACTACCCTTTCCCCCTAACTTTATTTAGGGGATAAATATATAATTAAGATTTTGAAACTAATTAAAACAATAAGAAAAATCTATACAAAAATACATTAAATGCATTTAAGTGTTTTACTGAAGCGAATTGTTCACACAACTCTGAAATTGAAAATTAATTTCATTAATATAATATACACATAATTAATTTGAGTACTTTTTTTTTATTTGTCCTTCATCTTTCTTTCAACTTGTCCTTGATGCTGTTGATTGTTTTAATTAAAACGAAAACTTATAAATTTTTGATGTAAAATAAATAAATGAACTATGTATAACAAAATAAACGCCATTAATATAAGAAAATTTAAATAACAAATTTACTTTCAAAGATTTTGTGACGAAAGTCAATTGAAGATAATAAATTATTTAAAACTATGATGGAGTTGTAATGTGACATACATATTTTGTTTAAAATTATATTAAACTGGTTTGTTTTAAAATAAGCACTCATATTTATACAATTAAATTAGACATTTGCGCAAAGTGTTAAAAATTTGCAAGATTTCCGGGAATATATTCTTAAAAATTATAATCAAATAGTTCAAGTTTACTGGTACTAATTGTTGCGCAAACTTATCAAAATTGTGCTATTTGCACAATTTTTTTTAGTTAAATATGCATAGACTTTAGATTGATTTTAAATTTAGTAACTTTTTTCGTTTAATTAACTATTCAATATTTGCTAAATATATTTCATTTTATCAATCAATTTAAGTCAATGTCAAATTTCAATTAAACGACCACTATCCGAAATAATGTCAATTCAAACTCAAATAAGTAAAGTGAATAATAACATAAAAAAAACTCTTTTATTATCCTGAATTCTTCTTAAATGATATGTAGCTGTAGTTGTTGTAGGCAACCATTTTAATACAACACTTAAGTTGTATTTAAATGGTTGCAAAAATGGTGTAAGTTGACAATTAATTGTGAACGATATTTAATAGTAAAAGCTTTTTCCCCTTATCAACTCATACCCATGTTATCGGAACACAGTGTAGTGTAATGAAATCGGAAAGGTAATACTAAACCCATCCGACGATCCATAATTGGCTCAATTCCCTATATAAGTCTTCTTCTGAATAACAGTCTGACGTTTACAAATGCCATATTGATATCGTTACTGTAATAAAGATT